GAGAGCGCAACCCTCACAACCTCAAACCTGACAAGAAGCCAAAGAAGTTACATCAACCTGTTGAGAAGTGAAAATTCAAGGTAAAGTCTTCCTAACTAATCTATGTTCCACATCTATATCCCTTATGCACACATTATGTTGTTTCTATAGACTTAATAGGTAGCGTAAATGTCTTGAAAAGTTAGCGAATTGGTGGGATATCCTGCCATCCAGGGCCCTCATAGAAGTATTAACACTGCTGTAGAGGCTTCTTTCTATGGAAATTGGGATAAGCTCTGGCTGTGTGGAATACTAAGATCCGTATGACACGGCAGTAATATACTTACCTTTGTGATTAAGAGATTGTTTACGTTCTGTTTTTCAGAGATGAGTGACAAGGTATTGCTGTATGAGGAGATTGAATATGGCGGGAAAGAAGTGGTAAGATATTAGGTTTAATCAGATTTACTGCGAGATTTATTCCTTAGGCTTTAGATAGAAAAGAGTCGGAAAAGCTACGATAGCATGGACAAAAAACTTAAGGCAGTTTCTTTTGACAGCTTTTACGAGTGACGCAAAATGTACTCAACTCATTATTACTTTGCAAGCGAAGGTTTTCATGAGAACAGATTTTTTTATATAACTCGTGGTTACGCGAATGAAATGCGTTCTGTGGTATATCATTCCGAGGCGGAAAACTGAAGAGGTTTGTTATCAGATGTAAGCGGGAGAAAACCCTGTAAGCAAAGATCATCGTGTTCAAATGCAAACATTTATTGAGGGTGAGGCGAAACGTGACATAAGAATGGAAAATAGGGGAATTTGGCTTGTGCAGGCAAAGAAAGATTTGAATTGCAGCGTCTAAATTTGATAAATTTTGCAACCGGAAATTTGATAAACGCAGGATTTCATTTTTTACTGATTTTGTAGAACGTATGCGTTTATTATTCTGCGGAGTTGGGTGAATACCATGATCATTCTGGATTTCTCCGTGATTCGAGCCAAGTCACGAAGTGAGACCGAAAAACTCTCGAGACTTTCCTTAGAGTTTTTTTCGTCACTTAAATCTTTACAACGCAGTTTTGATCAAAATAATTGATCTTTTCCCATTAAATAACACATCTTCAGAAAGAGTTCGAGTCTCCATGAACATACCGACCCAAATGATTTTGGTTTTTCGTGTTATAAACATGATCATTTCAAAGGATTTATAGTCGAAAAGGGAGCCAAAGACTCCATACTAGTAACGCAACCTTACATGCTGTAGGACCACTACTAACAAGTTGACAAACATGTTTCATTTCCACATTACTTTATCCACAAGTTGGCCATAGGTTTCCTTTGATTATGATATTGTATAAAACCCCTTTAACGTAAGATTTTCTCTCAGTATCTATTACTTACTCGACAAACCTTTCGACAATTTTAGGAAAGGATGATAGAGTTTTATGTGGTAACCCAAGTCGTCTTTTGTAGTACGTTTAAAGCTTTACTTACAATCACTTTACTTAAAATGCCTCCCAATAGTCTGTTTAGAAGCCTAGTTCTGTATTTTGCTACTAATATGCAGCATTCTGTACAGGACAGACCTTTTGAAACCCTTTGATTCACAGAAGTGATCTTTAACATGTACTTTGAAATATCGACAAATTATCCAGAAATCACGTGAAGAGAAATGATAGAATGATTAGTTGAAAGAAGGTTTTTAAGAGCCTGTCCACGAGAGCACCGGGCAGTCGTGCTACATGCCATTTCACC